AGAGGAGTTTGTGTATACACAATACATGGAAGTACAAATAAAACTTTAAATATGTGTAAGCAATAAAAAAATCCTAAAAACTCTGAACAGGGGAGAAAAAAGGATTATTAGGTGAGACTTATATGGATGACTCTAACTTTTCTTACCTTACTCTCTGGTTTTGCATCAGAAAAACTTTAAGACTATAATATATCTTTTGGAATTTATTTTCCAAAGCTGGAAGAAAATTGTTGTACAATTCAGTTTGCTTATTTAAAGGCAGACGATTTTAAAAGATTGTGAAATATCTTTTGATTGCGAGAGTAATAATTAGCATTCTAAGTTTCATGCTTATATGCATTTCTGTAGTTATATGCACACCTGATCAAATTTATGACATTTATCGGCACATCAAAGTAAGTCACCCGTGTTACCTTATCTTAAATTCTTAAAACACTTTCTATCACTTGACACATATTTGCATTGAACAAATCAGTTTACACTAAAATTGTGTAAATTAAATGAAAGTAAAAATTAATGTTTCCTTTTTGAGATAACAGTACAGTTTTTTTTTCAGAATTCTTATGCTTCAATATTTTTTTCTCATTGAGTTTATTGGTACCTTTAAGTATGCAGTACAGTTACATTTATTATTGGGATCTTGTATCTTTACATGACAGGTCTTGGTCCTCATTTCTTCCACTTGTCCCTGCCCTCTCTTCACCCAATGCACCCTTCCCTATTTACAAAGACCTTGTTTCCATTTTTTCATATTTTTTCTTTTCCTTTATTTCCTTTCCCCTACCCCTCCCACTTCCCCTACACTTTTAGCCCCCTTTTTCCTATTTCATATTGTCAATTATACGATTTGGATCTTATTGACACTTTCAGCTTTTCACACCAGAGAAACTATTTGGTATTTGCATATGTGAGTCTTATGCATTTCACTTAAGAGTATGGACTCAATATGCATCTTTTTTTTTCTAAGGATTTAGAAAGTATTCAATCTTAAGCATCCAATCACATCAATGAATTATCTCCATCTTATACATTAATAAACTAAGAATCAAGAACTTAAGTATTCCATGGAAGGGTTCATACACAAAGTAAATCGTAAATCCAAAATATGAGATTCAGGTTGAAGTCATTTTGTTCCAGAGTTAAAGCACAGATAATTCTGTCAAATTTTCTTTGTATGTGGCTTCTTGGCATTTTGACTAAGATCAGGTGAATTTTTCTTTATAAGAGAAAGCACAAAAAAGAACAAACCAGTGAATCAAACAAATATAAAATGATGGCATTGAATAAACTGCTTAAATTTACTGAATGAATTTCTTATATGTTTGCAGTTTCATGCAAATTAATAATACAGTACATTCTCTGACTTCAGACAAATTGTGGTTTAAGTCCAGGTATTACCATTTAATAGGTGTAAAAACTTGTAGAAATTACTTAACTTCTATGAATCTTATTTCCTGCCTTCCTTATTTCCTTTCTTCCTTTCCTACTGGAGATTGAGCCTAGGGTCTTGGTATTGAGCTGCATTCCAAACCCCTTTTAATTTTTAAAAAATTTTGAGATAGGCTCCCATTAGGTTGCTAAATTGACTAGTCTGAGCTTGAGTTTGCATTCCTCCAGCTTCAGTTTCCTGTAATTCCAGGCGTGAAGCACCGCACATGCCTTCTCAACCATGTTTCTTATCTTCAAAAAAAAGATTGTAGTAATTACTTTAATGATTAAATGTGCTACCATAAGTAAAAAATAGGCACATAATAAATGCTTTATAAAAGGCAGCTACATATACTTATGTGCATTAGATTTTTAATATTTGTATTAAAGATTGCACACATACATGACAACAGGAAATGAAGATACTAAGTAAAAATTTCAAATATACATATATATATATATATATATGACAGCAAAGAAGGATATGAAATAAACAAAAATTTATGTAATACAGACTAATAATCAAAATACATTATTAGTTTGATATGATATTCAAACATTATGTTATTTCTCATTTTCTTATCATATAATATTTTTGAAACAATGTAATTACAAATAAAACAAAATTACATATTATAGTTGAGAAACTGTCCTCAAAATTTTATGAATTATAAACTCCTTGGTTTTATTAATTGATAAATATCATATGCTGGTTGATTGTACCACTTACATTTTCTAACAAAACTTCCCACAGAAAAAAATATATTTATATTTGAAATCCAAAAGCAACTAAAAGAATTCACATTTTTAAGATCAGATTTTTCTGTTTCTATTTTATTATAACCCATACTTATTTTATTATATTTTTATAAGCATCATGATAGAATTTAACACCAATATATATGTAATATTCTTCCCAAACAAATGACTATGAATTAAGTCAAGCATGTAATTTAGAGAAATCATAAGATTGCCAGAGAATATATCATTATGCAAAATGTGCACAATCCTACCATATTCATGACCGTGTTCTCATTTAATAGTGCATACATATGTGTAAAAACATACCCCTCACACAGATACACAATGCATATTTTCTACAATACAATATATGCTTTGGTATAATAAAACAGTGCAGTGATGTATGGAATATTGGTGATTTGTGTGATTTGAGAAAAAGCAAATATCATCTTTGAGGGAGTTGGAGAATTTGTAATATGTACTAGATACTAAATGATATTAAGACAAACTTTGTTATGTTATCAATATATTTTTGTACCTATTTTCTTTTTTTGTTTGTTTGTTTGTTTTTGTTTTTTTTGGTACCGGTTATTGAACTCAGGTCCTTGTGCTTGCAAGGCAGGACACTGAACCACTGAGCTAAATCCCCTGCCCTTCTTTGTACTTATTTTCTAAGGATGATGAATATTAATTTTAAGTAAATTTTATCATAACTGTACTTAAGTAAATCATTAATATCATTTAGATTTTTAAATTTTTAATTTAAAAATAATATCAAGCTACAATAATAAAAACAGCATGGTACTGGCACAAAAACTGACAAGTAAACCAATGGAACAGAATACAATACAGGATTCAGAAACAATCTCAGGCGCATTTAGTTACCCAATATTTAACAAAGAGTTTAATAAAAAGAATGTCTTGGTGGAAAGAAAGATAATCTCTTTAGTAGATGGTGCTGGAAAGACTGGCTATCTACACGTAGAAGATTGAAGGTAAATCTGTATGTCTCATCATCTACTAAACTAAAATCAAAAGGATTCAATGATTTAAATATTAAAACAGGAACAACCTTCTGGAAGAGGCATAAACAAAAGACTTCATAAACACAACCCCAACTGCAAAAGAAATGATATCAAGTACCAACAAATGAGATTCTATCAAAATAAAAAGCTTTCACACAGCAAAGGATACAGCAAAGGAGTGAAGAGACAACCTACAGATACAGAAACATTTTTTTTCTATCCACAAGTTGGACAGAGAATTACAAAGAATATAGAATATACAAAAAATTACAAAGAATTGAGAATATACAAAAAATTCAAAAGCAAAAACAAAGAACCAATAAGGAAGGATAAACTGGAGTCACTTGCAGAAAAATAGATGCACCTGGAATCTGCAGTCTTAAGTAAAATAAATCATCCACACAAGCTAAAAAAAAAAAAATCGTGAGATTTTTCTTCTGTGATATACCCAGTGTATAAATAAATCAAAGAGTTAAAGAAAAAATAGACAATGGGAAACGGAGATAGATCTTGGCAAATGGGATGCAGACAAAAAGGTGCTACAAGAGGGACTAGGGGAGGGAAGGGGAATGTACAAAGAATTGATATGCATTATGTACATGTTGTAAATATCCACAATCGATATATTTATTCATGAGGTTACTGAAAATATGTACTAATAAAAATGATTAAAAATAAAAAACTGTTAAATATACATAAACAAGCCACATTTATAGTTAAAAATTAAAATATTTCATGAACAATGTTATTTTGGCTTTATCTTTTAACACATAACATACTTCTGTCAATATATATAAAAATGGTAGAATAAACACAATATATTTTGATGCAATCACAGTCACGTGATCTTATTTGATATGTAAAAATCTCTCATTTGTGCAAATAATACATATTAAAATATTTTTAAATGTAATTTTTACATTAATTTTATTGGTACATTTCAGGTATACAGTGTAAGGGCATTCATCATTGGAAATATGCACCTTTACTAATCCATCTTGGTTCTTATTTTTCCACATTCCCTTGCCCTCCCCTTCAATCCCTTCACCACCACCCCCTGTCTACAAAGACTTTATTTCCACTTTTTCTTTTGCTCATGTTAATTCCATTCCCATCTTTCTTTCTTTTGCCCTACTCCTCCCATGTGCATGTTGAGAGATATAGGTGCACTTTTAATCCTCAGCAAGTTGAAACCCATTTTTTGCAGTACCGTTTACTAAAGAGGCTATCTTTCTTCCAATGAGGGTGCTTGGCTCCTTTGTTGAAGATGAGGTGGCTGAGTATGCCTGGAGTTGTTTCTGCATCTTCTAAACTGTTCTACTGGTCCTCAAGTCTGTTTCTTTGTCAGTGCCATTTTGTTTTTATCACAGTATCTTTGTAGAATAATGTCAAATTGGGGATTATGATACTCCCTAACTTGTCTTAATTGCTTAGATTTGCTTTTTTTATTCTAGTTCCACATGAACTTTTTTATTCTTTTCTCAAGGTCTATGAAGTATGCTGCTGGGATTTCAATTGGGATTGCACTGAATTTATCTATAAGTTTTTGAAATATGGCCATTTCACTATGTTGGTTCTTCCCACCCAGGAGCAAGGGATGTCTTTCCATTTTCTGGTATCTTTTTCAATCTCTTTTTCCAAAGTGTTGTAGTTTTCAAAGTAGAGGTCTTTGATTTATTTCTTTAGGTGGATTCCTAGCTATTTCAATTTTTTGGATGCTATTGTGAAAGGGATTGTTTGTTCCACTTCTCTCTCACCGAGTCTACTTTTCATATACAGGAATGTTATTGATTTTGGTGTGTTGACAAAGATATGGAACACTTCATGAATATGTGTGTCAGCTTTTCACAGAGCCAAACTAATCTCTGTATCATCCCACTTTTAGTATATGTGCTGCACAAGAAAGCACAGTGCTTCTCATGTCCAATAGTTATTGTTTTATACAGTTGGGTGCACTAGTGTTTGGTTCACAAGTATTTATGATTGTCATCTCTTCCTCTTGGATTGTTCCCTGTACAAGGATGTGCAGTCTCCTTGTTTGTCTGACTTAATCAGTGTTGGTTTGAAATTCACTTGATCTGAGGATAGCTACCCCTGCTTTTGTGGGGGTTCCTGTGGTATAAAGCATTGTTTTCTACCCTTCAACTTTCAGTCTATGAGTTTCTTTTTGAATTAAGTTTGTTTCTTGTATGCAGAATATTGTTGGATATTGCTTCTTGATCCATTCTGACAGTCTATTTCTTTCGACTGGTGAATGAAGACAATTAACATTGATGGTTATAACTGATAGATATATGGACATATCTTTGTCATGCCTTTTTCTTTTTGTTGGATTCTCCCCCTTTGCATTTAATTTCTTGTGACTAATGGATTCATTCTGCTGGGCTTCCTGGGATTGTGATCCTCATTGCCTTTTCTTAGGGTATTGTTTAACATTTTTTTAGAGTGCTGGTTTAGTATTCATGAAGTTTCTAAGGTGCTTTTTGTCATGAAAGTGTCTTATTTTTCCATCAATTTTGAAAGATATTTTTGCAGAATACATCAATCTCGGTTGGAGGTTGTTTTCCTTTAGGGCATGAAATATGTCACTCCATACTTTCCTTGCCTTGTGGGTTTGTGTTGTGAAGTCTGCTGTGATTCTGATGAGCTTTCCTTTGTATGTGATTTGTTTCTTTTCTCTAATTGCTAATAGAATTTTGTTCTTCGGTTGGGTTTCTGGAATCTTAACTATTATAAGCCTATGTGTAGTTTTTTTTTTTTTTTAACATGGTTAGTTGGAGTCCTATAAACCTCACTGATCTGTATGTCAAGTTCTTTTCCTCTGTTTGGGAAGTTTACTGCTATCAATTTTTTGAACAGTTACTTTTTGTTTTGCTTGTTTGTTTTGTTTTTAATGTCATCTGCACTCTCTCCTGTTTCTTCATGGACTCTCATCAGTCTTATGTTCTTCTTTGAATCATCTAGAAACTTCTACATTGATCCTCGTGGTCCCTTACTATTTTTAAGAGATTCTTCTTTTCCTGTTCACTAATTGCAATCTTGTCTTCTATATCTGAAATTATGTCCTCTCATTGACTTGTTCTGCTGCAAAAACTTTCAATGGAGTTTTTAATCTCCTGGAAATCTGTTTGCAACTGTTTTATGGATTCCATCTGTTTCCCTATGTTGGGATTCCATCCTGTTTTTCAGCTCCTCTATTTTTCTTTAATCTGTGTCCACTCTAGATTTATTAATCATGTCTTGCACTATGAGCACAATCTCTGTATGAGAAATTATTGCTAATTTCATTTCTTCTAGGTCCTCCTTTATTGCTGGTTCAGGGAATCCAGGTGATTGAGTATCAGATTCTTCCATATTGTTTCCCTATGGGGTTGGCATAGGTGATCTGGAAATCTGGTTTTGAGACTTATTCCCATGTCTACTCATTTCAACAGATGCAGCCTGCTGTGCCTTTGTTGGGGCAACTTTTGCTCACCCAGTGGTCTTCAGTTCTCAGGAAGCCACCAAGCAGCCTTTACTCTGCTGCTCCCCAGTACACCAATTCCTGGGTTTAGAATGGTGGCCTTCTATATCCCTGAGATGACCTGTTACTTGAGTGTGCTTCTGGCTGGGGCCTGTGCACACTTGGAATGGTATCTAGGTGTTTCTCTCTCTAGGGACCCTATGTAGCTATTGTCTGGGGGGCCTTTGGCTGGAAGCTGTGTATTCCAGTTCCTGCTGTCTGCATAGGCTTCTGGCTAGACTCTCCAGGCACTTATCTATGGTAAGAGGGTGAGCTTCTGGCTGTTGCTTCTGAGTCTGTACAGTTCTTTTCCAGATGGAGACTTAGCTGGGGACAGTGGTATGGTGGGACCCTGGATGAAGCTGGCTTGTCTTTGTAGCCCTTTTCTAGGTGGGCCTGTGGCTTGAGCAGTTATGCCCATGCCTCTGGGGTCAGGGTGGGGCCCTGGCTGGAACTGGCCTGCTGCCATGCCACTCTGGTTCACACAGCTACTCCCCAGGATGTGTACACACTTACTGATGGTATGGCAGAACTCTGGATCTGAAATGTCATTTCTTTTTTTACTGATATGTATTAATTAATTAATATTTTAATGATATGATGATGATAATTGTTCAATTAAAGTTCAATTAAAAGCAACAAAAATCCAGACACATATTATTCAAAATACAAGTATATGATTACAGTTATAATGCTAATGCTTTATAATAGTTAAATTATATTCTTCATTTTTCAGTATGAATAAAGATAAAGAGACTCAGAGAATTAAGGCATACTTTAACTTTATTCTTCCTACCTTGCATTTGGTTAGCCTCCTCAACGGTCTGTATTCATAAATTAATTTATTGGAAAAAGATATAATGAGAACAATGATAGCCTCTTTAATAAATGATGCTGGAGAAACTGGTTTTCTACACATCAAAGACTAAAACTAGATGTATGTCTTCCATCCTGCACTAAACTAAAATCAAAATGGATCAGAGATCTAAATATTAAAACAGAATCACTAAATATGCGAGCACACTTGAGGACATAGATATAGGCAAAGACTTCATGATCAAATCCCCAATCACATTAAAAATAATACAAAGAATCAACAACTAGCATTTTATCCAATTAAAAAGCTTTTCACAACAGATGAAATCACCAATAGAGTGAAGAGAAAACTCATAGAGTGGTAAAAAAAAGTTGTAGTCTGTTGTTCCTTAGACAACTAGAACATATAAAATATTGAAAATATTAGGTCCTCCAAACATAAAGAACTAATCCAAAAAATGGGTATCTGAAATGAACAGACATTTCACAGATGAAGAAGTACAAATGACAAATAAATATTTGAAAAGAATGTTTAACATCACTGGTAATTTGATAAATGCAAATTAAAACAGTGCTGAGATTCCATCTCACTCCAGAAAGAATGGCTTTTATGAAAAAAATCAGCCAAAAATAAATACTGGTGGGGCTGTCAGGGGAAAGGAACCCTTCTACACTGTTGGTGGTAGGACAGACTGGTACAATCACTGTGGAAATCAGTGTGGTGATTCCTCAAAGAACTAACACTGGAGACCCATTTGACCCAGCTCTTCCCCTTCTGGGCATCTTCCTGAAAGAAGTAAAAGCATCACACCACAGTGATATATGTGCTGTCATATTTGTAGCCACACAGTTTGTAATAGCTAAATCTTGGAACAACCCAAATGCCCATCAACTAATGAGATGAATGGATAAAAATGATGTGATGTTTTTACAAAATGGAGTACTACTCAGCAATGAAGAAAGATTAAACTTGAAGCAATTATAGCTAAATGGAGGCACCTTGAGACTATACTGTTAAGTTAATTAAATTGGACATATATGTGTAAATATTGCATTGTCTTTCTGGTGTGTTAACTGAAAGTATAAATAAGGAACAAAAAGTATAATAGACATTATGAAATGAGCAGAAATTGTTCATAGGGAAAATGTACTGGGGAAGAGGGAGGAAGGGAAAAGAAAAAATGAGAAAATAAAGCTTTTGTAAATAAAGAGGGGAAGAGGAGTTGAAGGAAGTGGAGGGGAATGAGAAAAAAGAGGAATCAAGATATACTATGTACAGGAACAAATTCCCTACAATAAATGTGATCTTTAGGTATACCTAAGTTGCTCCAATAAAATTAATTTTAAAAAGAAAGAATTGTCATTCACAATGTATGAAATTCTTTGCAGTTTTCACAAACTAGGAAAATTAAGCATGTCTTTTCTTTTTTCTATTCTATTAAGAAGTCAAATATGATGTGTTAAACATGAAACAGGAACTTTCTGGATGATTTAATTGCAACTGGATTAATAATTTTCTACTGATTTCATTTAGTTATTATATATGCCTCTCTGTCAACACTCACCTTTGGTAATGATTCCCAAGCCAATTTCCAGGCCCAACTTCATGCAGTCTGTTAGTGTGTTTATTCAGCACTTCATATGCATTTAGCTACAATGAAAACAAAAGTATAAACTATGACTTTGTAGTGAAAGGTTTTTAACTTTTAGAATTTAACAGCAAAGCACATTAGTCAAGAACAAGTATGAAAGAGTTCAGAGAATTATAATGTTGTAAGTGATAATATTGTACTTGGTAAACATATTTACTTAGTATGCTCTACCTCACCTACAATTTCTACCACCTGTAAGAAAGTAAATGTTCCAGTGACACCTTGGTATTTGTTAATTGGTTCCAGGAGGTACCATGAGTACCAAGAATGACAAGTACCAAACAGATTCCTATGAGCTGGAAAGGTAGCAAGTCTGAGGCAATCAACTCCAAGATCTGACTTGTATGATGAGTGCCAAAGGTATGATGAAAAATTTTCCATCAAAATGTATACAGTAGCAAATTCGATGCATTTCAAAGCAGCAGAGTTCCAAGTTGTGATGGTATTAGCTTTCTCATTTAAGAGTCCAGGCAAGGACAGTGATTCTGAGATCTGGGATGATGTCATTTGAACAGCTTTATATTTCAAATTCCTTGTGTCCCTTACTAGTGGAGAACAAGTTCTCATTTCCTGAAGTTCATTGAAAAAAAAATATATGAAACAAATCTATCCCAAGAAGATGATTGTCTTTTTTTTTGGTAGTGGGAATTGAACTCGGGTCCTTGAGCTTGCAAGGCAGGCCACCGAACCACTGAGCTAAATCCCCAGCCCTGATTGTCTTTCTTAAAATCCCCTCTTTCTGCCATCATTTGTTCTAGAGTTAAATCTCAGCATGAACTGAGAAGGAAGCGTTAGCCTTTGGGGGCAAGAAGTGATCATTTATCAGAATGTTAACAAAAACTGCTAACAAAAATACTCACAGGAATTTGGACAACTCTCCTGGACATGAAATGTTAGCATGCTGGATCAGAATAAGGAAGTAAAGGTCAGAGCGGATGG